CATAGACAGTGTATTCATTACTGCCACAGAGACTTCTATTTTTTTGCCATATTTCCTCTTCAGCTTTAAAACTAATCATGGCAGCTGGGACGTACATCCCACGATTAGCATCAGGTGGATAATCAGTCACTCTGAAATCTCAACTCCTAGAAAAGAATAAAAAGTGATCGAATCCCTTATACTGTAAAAAATACTAATAAAACTGATTTTCAAAACATCCCACACCTCGTATGTTCTGAGACTAATGTTTTCAAATTTGTTGTGCAAAACTGGTAGCTACAAAACTCTTATACTTATAATTTCTTTACTATTCGCTTTTTTTAGAGAAAAAAAAGAGGAACAAGAATAAACCTTAAAAACGCTTTGTCAAATTCAAATGACAGCTCGCAAACAGCTCCAGCAGGCAAAAATAGTTGATACTCCAAGAGAAATGGTTTCATCCTGCTTTTGGCAGGAACGAAATTCAAAAGTTTTGGAACAGTACTCTCCGATCCCTAGAACAACAATTGTAATATAAACATAAGAAATGTCAGTGAAACAGTTGAATACCAATGCCAGAAATACAACTACTTTAAAAAACACAGAGCATTTCCAAAAAAAGGTGATTGACATTGGTATTAAAAAAATTTAAACTCTTAAAGTACAAAAACTTGACAAAATTTCAGCATAAATGATAAGCCGCGATTTACTTGCAACCTACCTTTCTTCCAGACAAAGAAACACAAAAAAATTTCACTGTGTGGAAATAAATCTGTATGAACCAAGGTATAACATGAAAATAAGTGGCAGACTGTGGTAAAGACTGCAGGTTTTCAATTGAAGTAATAATTTTTCCTGCATGTTGGTCCGCTATGCCAAGAAAGCTATGAACACTAAATAGAAGGCTAGTCAAGACAAAAATATGCCACGTTCTCTTATTAATGTACCAGATTTCCTTAAGCTTATAAAAAGTTTAAGAAGTTAGATGACGGAAAATACCTGAACAATGAACTCGGTTTCTGCTGAGATAAATCCAATTTCCTCCTGTACTGGCTGTGTAAGTTGAAAGGAAACATATGGGTTGGAATTTCATGAATGTTATAAATATAATATTGTCGACTATTGTATTTCTTTTTCTCGGTGGGACTTATATTTACAATAGCCTGAAGCACAGTGCAATAAAAAACAACCGTTGTCATCAAAAGTGCAACTAGTCATCCCTTACTACTATCAATTTTCCAGTGCTTATTACTGACTGATGTAAAAACATAATAAAACGATTAGTGAAACGAAAACAACTGTTTACTGAAAATTATTACTGAAGGATCTTTTTCGAAGATAACTCGAGTGCTACGAGATACATTACAGATACCATCTATCTTCTTTCCAAATAGACTGTAAATGCTCCAATCTACAATTTCTAGACATTTAGCCCGTCAGAAATTTATTAGACAGCACAGCTGAAATACTGAAAGAGAGAATTAAACCAATTGAACAATAACCTAAGGAATGAGACCGAAGATCAATATCAGTGACCATATCTAAACCAAGTTCAAGACGCGTGCGGTTTCTGCAAGACTTGGAAATGTCCTGAAAACTATAAATGATCGTTTTAAATGCTGTTAAATGATTAGAAGTCTAAAGCAAAGATTATGAGAACACCTACCTGACAACCCCGTGTGAAATGAATTGACAGTGAATGATAATTAGAACTGTACAGTTTTTCTGGGCTTAAAATTTCCGACAACCCGGTCTAGAAAAGTATGTAGGATGTATAATTCACATTAAAATATCAGGATCAGAAGTTTTACCGTAACAGTAACAAACGATATAACAAGAGAAAAAAGTCTGTACTTCTTTACACGGAAGAAGTTTTTTCCACGGTGTCAAGTTTTCAGTGCAAACTGTTTCGCTGGCTAGAGCGCCATACCTAGAAAAAACTCATCAGTTACATATAGCAAATTCTGATATCTCCATTATTTATTTTAGTTAAACAAATGAACAGCAAAAAATGAAGAACGCCTATACCGATGATGCAAAGTAAATTCATCCTCACTCCCATTTTTTGCAAAAGGGAAATGTCTCGGCGTAGCCGTTAGAAGTGGAACCATTTCCAATAAAGAAGTGCAAAATATTCCATTCAAAGAGTTTACAAAGTGGTTCCATTTGTCAGCAACTCTGGAAATTAGTCAGAATAATAAAAAGTGACTTAGTATACGCAATGGGTTGGAAAACTTATGAACAAACTCCGATCCAATTCCCCTAAATGAACAAAATAGCTGCGCTCCAGAAGGGGACGCTGGCTGTGGCGGAATACCCCATTCACTGTTTCTCCAAAATCCTTGAAAAAACCAACAGTTTTTTTTTGACATAATCAAAAATTATAAGAAAAAAAATTGCTGTTTTGAACTAAAATCAGTACTAGACACCAAAAAATCCATGATTTTCGATAGCTGGAAGATTGATTCTACATCATGCTAAGAAAATCTCTAGATAATAAGAACGTGATATAACAACGTTTGATTACGGAAGATAGAAAAGTAAAATAAGGAAACAGTGTCACCTTGTGTTAGAGAAAAGTGGAATACCTCAACGTCATAGTTGTTCGAAATTTCGGCAACAATTCTGGGAAACAAAATATAATCTGGTCCTGAATGCAATAAGGTGAAATTACAACTAGTAGATTTGGCAATAATGATTCTTCTCTTTCTCCCTTATACAAAGATGTCAAAAGAGTGACTTGGAAAAGAGTGCTACACTTCCATTTATTCATCAATTTTTTTCCCATCTTTTCGTGAAGGTGCAGGCCGACTAGTAAGAATTGTAGAAATTATTAACAGAAGAGCAAAACCACCAACCTAAGTTGATTCCACTTGTAATTACGAATCGGAACTTTGACAGCAAATGACCATCATTCAGACGTTTTATTTCCAACTCCTCCTCATAAGTATCTGCCTCACTCCCTGTTATGTCTTCGCTGACAAGCAAAAATATCAGCACGGTCAGAACAGTATTTCTCATTTCATTACTGATTCTGAAATAGAAGGACAGATATATCACTTCCTGTGAAAGCTACTGCTCTTTTCCAACGCCGACTTTTCCTAGATATACAGAATGACGGAGTGGTTAATAGAAGGAACTAAAAACTGTGATATGCGCTGAAGGTATTCTTTTCGTATTCCGACATCAGTAACCACTTTTTAAAAGAATTAAGTTATAAGGGAACATCCAGGTACAATCAACAAATCGAAGGTTCTGAATATGCAGACAGCGGATCGTAGAACTTTTTTTGAAATAAAAACGCTCAAGTTGAGAAAAACTGTGAAAATGTACAGTGGCGAACAGAGAGTTGTACGGTGAATCACACGTTTGACTAACGCTTTTTTCTCATCGCTAATGTCAATTCACAGCCTGACCTGTCTTCCCAGAATACAATTTTAAACTGCGGGAAAGTTCCTGGAGCTTTCAGGAAGCTAGACTCACATAGACTGCGCCCAGCCTGTCAATTCTGAATCGTTGAACATATCTGAAATTTAAGAATAACTTGTTCACTTGGCGGGAAATTCAAAAGGCATACTGCGAGGGGTTAATTTAAGACACTCAGAATCAAATGTATAAATTCGATTAGGAACACCTAGGTCTTCGCCAGCGACTCTCTTTCTTAGGGTGTTGTCGTATCGTGGTTCTGTTTATTTTCTTAGTAGCAGTTTTAACCGTTGGATGGCTCTCCTGCTACGGTTTTCTTTTATCATCTAGTCAATATCTGTTGGTTAACACTTTGGTCAAGTCAGTCCAGTGATTTGCCGGTCATTACTCTGTAGTTTTTTCTCAAGTTGGCCTTAAATTGTAATTGTTCCGTACTTTAGACTTCCCTGTCGTGTGAGTGTTTGATGGATCCATCGTATTCTTTTCACTTGTTGGAGGTTAGGTCTTTAGTCACGGAAATCTCGTCGCTTTTATAGCGGTGACTTCTGACAACCGTTATGATTGGTCGCATACCACAGACATAAATTATTTTCAAACAGAATTTCTTCCTTAAAGTTCTCAAATCCTTCGACCGTTCTAAGCCCTGCGAAGTCTTCAGATACGATAGAAACGCTCGAAAGTTGAGAACAGAAGCTGAATGTTTCACTTGTGTACCCTTTTATAAAGTATTGATGAGCTTCCGTTTAATTCAAAATTTCGCTGGCGGCTTCATAAAATTCTAAAAGTTGGAGATCAGCTAAAGTGAAGATGTTATATTCTTTTTTAATGATAACGTCCTTCATCAAAAACCGCAAAAAGATTTAAATTTTCAGAAGGTACGTAGATTATATAATAAATAATATATAACGTATAATATGTAATATATTATATATTATATATTATATTATGTACTGTATAATATGCATTACTTATCGTATATTGTTTGTTTAATGTTTATGAAAGGCAATTGTTGTGAACTGGTTTTCTCGAACACTTTGAAGTTCACCAACTGGTGTTGCAGTATGGTGATTATATCCCATTTGGCTGTACTACTCACGTTTTTACAGGACCGACGATTGAACAGAAAAATGGTGGAAAGCATGCTTTACCACCGTGATCAATGCATATTAAACGAGCATTTGATGCACGTTTTTGAAATCGAACGAATTTTTTTGTAAACGTCCGCATGTTAAGTGAAGAGAGCAGTTGCACTTTTTTTTTGTCTTTAGCTCTTGACGTTAATGTTTTGGCATTTAGATGGTTAG